CCCAAAATAAATCTCTGGCGCCGCCACTGAGCCTGACTATTTGTGTTGGGGGGGCCCCGACTTTTTTTTCTCTCCAAAGACAGAAAAAGTTTGAGAACCACTCCCTTACATGCAGACATGCTATCGAGTTAAGTATTGGTGGAATCTCTTCCTTACATTTGGCTATAGCACTAACAGATAGGTTTCTGCTGCAGGAACTTTTTACTAATGGTTTGTAGTAACAGTACTTCAAAAGTTACAAAAAAATGGTCGGATAAAGCAGGATTATGCGGTTCGACTAATAGTTGCTCAATTTCAATACCATAAGTCAGAACAAGGTCGAGAGTGTGATTATAGCAGTGGGTTGGTTTATTTACACTCTGACGGATACCAATAGAATCTAATATAGAGTTAAATGCAACAGTAAGGCTATTTTTGTCGTCGTCAACATGAATATTGAAGTCACCTACGATAATTACTTTATCTGTTTTAAGAACCAAAGTTGATAAAAACTCAGAGAATTCTGATTAAAATTCTGGATTAAGACCTGGTGCACGGTACACTGTAACAAATAAGATTGGCTGCAAAGTTTTCCAGGTTCGAGTCATAAGACTAAAAACAAGGCTTTCAAAGGAGCTATAATTTAAAGGGGACCTATAATGCAAAATGCACTTTTGTACGTCTTTTATACATGAATATGTGTCCCCGGTGTGTCAGGGAACTCCTCAAGTGTCAGAAAACACAACCGTCTCTCTTTTTCTCCATACCCAAATCTCTAAAAACGGGGCTGCAACGGATCTGATAGCGACTGATACAGATTTGAAAATAGTCTGATGTCAGTGACGAGGAGCTCCGCCTATATGGCCAACTCTACACCTATCAGGGGAATGAGAGGTTGCCGTGGCATGGTAACAGCATGGTAACATGACGCTCGTAACTCGGCCCTCTCCTTTGCAGGATAGGTGTAGAGTTGGGCGTGGTCAGCTGAAGCGCATGCAAAGACGGGTGGAGGAGAGGAAAATAGAGCAAAATGAGGCATGGCTAAAATGCATGATCTGTTTGGTATTTTGAAAAAAAAAATGTATAAATATACCTTATATAGGTATGGCCCTACAATATATTATTCAAATATAGCATGATAGGTCTCCTTTAATTTTGGTTTAGTATTGATAAGTAAACTTGAGTCAAAGATTGCTGCAACTCCACCTCCTCGGCCCACGCCTCGAGCAATATGAGTATTGATATGGCTGGGTGGAGTGGCCTCATTTATGCTGACATATTCTTCATGTCTCAACCAAGTTTCAGTGAGACAGCATATATCAATATTATAATCTGATATTAAATAATTTACCAATATTGCTTTAGATGCTAGAGATCTTATGTTTAAGAGTCCACATTTAATCTTCCTATTTTGTTGTACTGTATTAGTTGTTACATTTACTTTTATTAGATGATTAATTATGACACTATTAGGTTTTGCTTTAAATTGTCCTTGGGCAGACACACACACCGTTAATATTGGGTATTTTATTGGGTTCGGGATTCCTATGAATGACTGCCCAGGAGAGAACGCAGAGAAGCGTGTAAGATTGCGACTCCGCCTCCTGGTCTCAACTCCAGTTTGTCATCTCAGTTTTATCACTCACTCAATTTCCACAGCAGATGTATTGTTTCTCATTGCTGCTACATTGGGGACGTGTTGAGGTGTAAATCAGGGCTGCAGTTATCTAGCTCAGTCACGAGTGATGTAGCACCAGTGTCAAGGTGGGTAGTCAAGTCCACTAATCATAACTTCAGGAGAGAATAAAGCTCAGCTGCCTCAATAAAGATTAGGATTCAAAAATAGGCTACTGCTGAGTGGGGCCAGTTACAACATTTAAACCTATGATGGGATAAATGGTTTCCCTAAATGATAAGCTTTTCATTAGGTTCCTATATTTATATTTAATTATGTTTTTTAATACAACATTCTCACTTTTTTTAATAGACATCCTGCATTAACACATCAGACTGAATAAATGCTCTGAAACCTCTATATCTTTTCCTCTCATCTCTTTTACACTCACCTGCCTTGTTTTCAACCTTTTTACAGCTGTAGGCACCTATCCGTAGATTCACACCCACCTATATACATCCTGTGTGTGTTAGCCTATGCAAAGTAATGGGTGGTGTGTGTTATTGTTGCTGTAAAAAGCCTCCAGGTATAAATGGGTGTTGCTCATAAACATCAATCACCATGGCTGGTAAGTGATCCTTGCAGCTCAAAGCAAGAGACACCGATAAAATGTTCCCACTGCCTGCCATTTGTTATTTTACGGCCCATTTGTCCAACAATAGACACTGGTATAATGTACAAGCAGACAGTATTCTCGTTTTACTGCAGGTCTAAGTTTTAGAAAGTTTCTGTGAGATATTTATCCATCATAAAGTTATCATGTGACAAAAGAACGAGGGAAGGAAATCTGAAACTTTTTGTGGTGAAAATAGAAAAACTCTGTCTGAAGTCAGTCCTTCTCTGATATACAACATCATTTATTGATCTAATTATTAAGATTGATGGACAAACTGCAAGGCTTTTACTGCTCAAAACAGTGTCTTACATGGTAGTCAAATTCCACAGAATTGTTTGAGAACCACCTTGTTTGTTGGTGTGAGAGAAGGATTGCACCTCACTGTGGAGGAGGACTTATGTGCTGTTTACACGAGAACACAAGCGGTTGTATCCGCTACTTTTCTCTTTCTTTTCTCTTTCTACTTTTCGTTCGTTCACACAAGGCCGTAACGGAAACGCGGAAACGGACCCCACAAACGATAACGGGTCCCAAGGTGGATAGATCTGCAAACAGAACGCTCTGGGGGGCAAACGGCTCCGTGTGTACGACCTATACGATCATTTCCTGATAACGATGAAGCCATAGCCCTACCTCTCCCCACCTCTGCTGCTCACTGCTGTAGTATGGTCAGTAGCTACTGCTACTGACCATACTACAGATGTTAGTGCAACATCTACAGCTCCTCTACCACAACCATCAGCAACAAGTGGACATGGAGAATTACATGAACTACATGTTGCTAAATCCACCGTGGGGCATAAACAGAAGGGCAACCATGGCAACCATGCTCGGGGGTCCTCTTCGCTGCTTTTGGTGTATTTTGTGGCGAAAGTACAGCGCCACTTACAGGTCCGGCATATGTACTATGCGTCTCCAGCGCTTTCGAGCGGTCTCTTGCGGAAGTACAGCGCCACTTACAGGCCCAGCATATGTACTACAGTGTCTCCAGCGCTCCCGAGCGGTCTCGTGTGAACGGAAGACTTTTTTGATATCATATTCGGTTCGTTTGCGTTTCGTATGCGTTTGCGTGTAAATGGGGTCTCAATCTAATGCAGAGCATCAGGAGAAACAGCAAGTTAAAAGCAAACAGCCGACCTTGGCGTGTAATTATATTTGAGCATGGACCTATAATCAGGCCTGATGGGCTCTTCATTACATCTGCCTCCTCAGGGGCTTGTACAAGGTGGTACTATATTGTATAACAACAGCACATTATTACATTATACATGTTTTAATCACTACCTGGAGACCCTGAACAGATTGTTTAGCAACAGCAAGTGTAACAGCAAAGGGCGAGAGAAATTTGTTTTTTAATTTCATAAAAAGGAAACTATTGATGTTGCATATTTTAGAAAGAATATAGAGAAGAAAATACATATTTTGAGTGAGTGTGTGTGTGCTGCAACCTGGCAATTAGTTATATAGTTTGGTATTGCCATTAGTTACAGTCAGACTGGGATCCTGCCCAGTGCAAACTATCTTTTTCTGTTGAAATATCAGAACAATCTCCTCATTTACTTTGTTTTTGCCTAAATTACAAACTTGCCCATTTTTCTCCCTCTTGCCTTGCCTCTGTCCTTCCCCTCGAAGTCATGACAAAGTCATCAAAGAGCTTCTCACAGAGCAACATGCAAACATCCTCTATTGTAGCCAAATAAAGACGCACCTGTAGGCAGATGAGTCTCTTTTGAACCAGTTCAGTGTCATTGGCCTGCTGCGACACATGGTAAAAATCACAGCACACATTTTCCCTAATTAGACCATGCCTGCTTCGTGTCTTATCTTAATTAGTCTGCGCCTATGTGATTGTTGTTCAGATGTATAACTACAGATTGTTATAAGAAGCGTGTCTCTGCAGCCAGTTTGGGTTATGTATATGTTGTTACACATAACCTTGTTGCTACTTAAGGAGAAAGCTTGACCTCCTGCCAGAGTTAGATGGAGAAGTGTCTTAGGAGACAGAACTGCTGCTTTGTTTCTTTTCCCCTGAGGATGTCTGTGACCCTGCAGCAACATAAGCCTGAACTCAGGGTCACGGTCAACAGAGAGCACACGAGCTAAGCAAACACTTTATCTCATTAAGGAGCCACTACTACATCAAGTAGTCTTTTAAAAAACGTCTCCCTGCTCCTGGTCTTTCCCCTCCAGTTCTGCTTCTCCTAGTGACAGCATCCCTGATATATTCAGAGATAATCAACACACAGCTCTGCACCTTGTTCTTGTTTTAATTACCCATTCCAACTTACCCTCATCCACTTCTGCTTTACTAATTATTCATGTGAAGTTATTCAGCCCAGAAGTGAGTCAACAGCGCTGTGGTCTTCAGCATTGCATCTTTCTACTTAATGAGCCCATAATGCATATCATTTTAACTTATAAACGATCATAAGACTTGATACTTTTCGCCTAATTCTTATGCTGACTTCATTCTGAAGCACTTGTATTGCACTACATCCACATTCCAGATGTTGTTCACTAGATCTTACATAATGATATTGAGGGGAATGCATTAATCTGAAGATATACATGCCTCTGAGTGGTACAGGGAGAAGTGTCATTTGTTGTGTTTCATATGATGAATAGCTCAGGATACACAGCTTCTGCGTCTTTTGCCTTGTGGCTGTCCTCGATACAAACCACCATCTCCTAACTCATTTTGTAATCATGTCTATTTCTCATTTTCCACAGCTGCTGCTCTTGGCAACCTGGTGTCTGATCTGGCAGGACTAGGGTAAGAAATGCACACATACACAGACAAACAAATCATGGTATGTCTTACTATCAAAGATTATTACTGTAGTGTATGTAGGCATACACACATTATAATACAGAGAGAATGATGTGAAGGTTTACTACGCCACTCCACTCCCTTTGGTGAATACTAAGTCATTTAATTGCGTACTAAATGGTAATTATCAAAATGAGCCCAGAAGAAGATAAGCCTGAGCAATAAGGGAGAAGGACAAATTGAGCCACCAGAGGTTTGTGTCTCAAAGGTAAGAAAACTGTGCACAGAGATGAATTGCTTTGAATAAGAAAAGCCAAATAATTAAAAGTTGAACAAGAGTCTCAACAAGATTTGTCTAAATGAGGAGTATGCAGTCACTTGACAGTTTAAGTAAAACAACATTTGAGTACAACTAAATCCTGATGGTATTCTAGTTATTCATAGATGTAGATGATATTAGTCACTTAATCCATCTTAAAAGCTTTCATAAAACACTGTATGAAAAATCATAGGTTTGTATCTGATCTTGATATTTGGTTGGAAAGATCTTTATCAAATCAAATCAAATTTTATTTATATAGCACATTTATAAACGATTTTTGGTCGAGCCAAAGTGCTGTACATATAATAAAAATAGCCTACAGTAGAGACACTTTACAGCAAATACAACAGCACAGATTGTTCAGAATATCAGAATGAGAAAACGACACCCTCTGTCCTTAGACCCTCACATCGTACAAGGAAAAACTTCCAGAGAAAACCCACAGTTTAAAGGGAAAAAATGGGAGAAACCTCAGGGAGAGCAACAGAGGAGGGATCCCTCTCCCAGGACGGACAGACGTGCAATAGATGCCGTGTGTAAATCGAAGAGATAATACATTTACAACATAGGTAGTCCAAATGTTAGGAAATGCATGTGTCTGTAATAAGAAGATGAATCCACGAGGATGTCAACTACAATCCTGTGGGAGCCATCAGGGAAGCAGCATGATGAGACCCAGGCAGGACCGCAGAGACAGGTTCAGCCACGACCCGAACGTCCACAACTTAATCCAGAACTCAGGATAGAGGATCCAAGACACAGGACTACAGCAAGAGGATCAGCCTCGACTCCGGATCCCGGCGTAGATATAGATACAAAACAAGAAAAAAAACATTTGTCTGGGTTCATCGGAACAAGAGAATACACAGACACAGACAGAGAGGGAAAAGGTCATTGGAGGTATGCAACATTATTGGTTTTTGGTCTGAAAGAAAGCAGTCCATATGTGATCGGCACATTCTGTCAACCTGTTATTTATAAGCGGTAATTGTTGGTTGTATCGAAGGGAGTGTCACTTTTTGCGTAACCATGCTCTATGCAAAGGTTATAAAACCATTCCTATACTTTTTCACAGACGTTAGCCCAATCTCAATTTCATGTACAACATATTGAACTTCAAGCCAGAAAGGGTCATGTTTTTGATCCTTCAACTTACTTCATCTTTATTTTTCTTTCAACTTAAAAGACATACTGTAGAACTATATAAGAACAATGCTACAGGATACAGTTGTTTGCAACATTAGATTTGGTCAATAAAAGCATGATACTGATTTGAATCTTTTCATTGGGTTCCGTCAGTTGATTCATGACGGTTATCCACTTCAGGGCTGTGTGGACCCTATTCAGCTGTCTAACCTGCCTCCATAATACTTACAGTAGCATACAATGCCATCAACCAGCAGCCTATTGGTTGTATCTCAGTGAGTATTAGTGATATAACATATCATTCCCCTCTCTCATGTAAATAGAGTCTGCTTAACAGAGAATGTAATTGACGGATAATTAAAACAAAGCCTTAGAGACTCTGCTGTTTCCTTGCACCGTTTGAGTGTGATGGATTAGCTAAATTGTTCCAAAGGCTCTTAGTGAACACACACACACACACACACACACACACACACTCACACACACACACACACACACACACACACACACACACACACACACACACACACACACACACACACACACAAACAGGTGTACTTCTGTGTGAGCGTCTCTGTTTGTCACTCAATCAAAATGGGACAATGGAGCCCTTGTGGCCACTTTGTCAAGGTGAGACTCGATTAGACCAGACAACAGAGGCGTTTGTATCTTGAAGGACTCACAGCAGTGAGTGTGAAGGCTGTTGGTCTCAGTGGAGATCCTGCTGGTGTTCCTCACCACAACCTTTACATTCCTTTCAGAGGGGGCAGGCTGAAGTGCACACATGTAAACCTTGTGCTTACTCAGGGAGTCAGTGGCCCTTTATGGCACATTTCCACTGCAGCGGGGTAGCCCCATTTAAGCGTCCCTAAGCGTCCTCTCTCAGGCCTCGGGCTGCCTCGCTGGCCGTCCGAGGCCGTGGCGCATTTCCATTATAGTTTAGGACCTGGGGTAGCAACGCAGTGTAGGCGGGGCATCTGTGCAGAGACATCCTGGAACACTTTCACATTTCGAGTTGTTCCGTCGAGCTCCCGCTGGATTTTATCATCCCCAATGAGATGTAGGAACGTCAAAAAATGCTGTGTATAAAAATGCTGCAATCTTGCTTCTAGATATATATGCGACGCTAGGGATGATCTCGCGCGCGATCTTGTGAGGATTCTCTCTGACCAATCAGCAGTCGAGAGTGTTGACGTCACTAGTTCAGCCCTGGCCCTGGCCTGATAGAACCACGATTTTATGGGGCCGGAAAAAGAGGGAAAAAGTACCCGCTAGCCAGTGCTACGCTATATGGAAAGGCCACCAAAAACTGGCCTGGCCGCTTGAGGCCGCTTGAGGACGATTAAGGACGCTTAAACGGGGCTACCCGCTGCAGTGGTAATGCACCATTAGTGTCCACTGAGAATTAAAAACCTGAGCCATGTTGTAAACAGACCATTAGGTTTAAGGCCACTCTGTTTATTGTGTTAGCTTGGTGACATTGAGAATGTGGTTCATGTCATATTAACAAAGACCTCAGATTTTATTTGCCAACATTGGGAGAGAATGACTTTATTTGGGGCTTTTGTAAATACATGAGGGTTCAACGCTTTGTGTGCTTTGAAACCGATCAATCAATCAAAAAGATAGAATTAGATTTAAATTCTATCTTAAAGGTATATTTGACCACAGTTATGGCCAACATTTATATTATTCTCAATATCATTTTGTTTCTATAATAATAATAATAATACATGTTATTTATATAGCGCTTTTCCTGGTGCGCTTTTATAAGTAATCTGATGTACCTGATTTTTCATTTCATTTCAAACCTTTATTTAACGAGATTGGTCCCATTGAGATCATAGATCTCTTTTTCAAGGGAGACCTGCAGCATATAGGTTCCACATGAAACATAAAACAATAAAGGACATTATACATTATATTTACAAGATACATTTACCTAGTTATATACATTTACCAGTGCCCATAATATCAACAAGCATTTCATTTAGCCTAGCTTTAAAAACATGCAGAGGAATGAGATTGCTCAGTTTCAATTCTTGCTGAAGATTGTTCCAAGCAAGTGGAGCTGCGCACATAAAAGCTGTCTTACCTAAGACAGTCCTTGCTCTTGGCACATCTAACAATACTACATCATGCGATCTCAGACAATAGCTGCTTGCAACTCTCTGTGTTATCAGAGAGCAGATGTAATACGGGAGTTTACCCAACAAAGCTTTATAAATAAACGTGTACCAATGACTGAGCCTCTTTACAGTAAGTGATGGCATAACCGCCTTGGCATACAGGGTACAGTGATGAGTAAGTGCTTTACAATTTGTGACAAATCTCAGTGCACTGTGATAGGCGGCATCTAACTTGTTCAGGCAATAGGCAGGTGCATTCATATAGATCAAATCACCATAGTCCAGCACAGGTAAAAAGGTCACAGTGACTAGCCTTTTCCTGGCTTCAAAAGAGAAACAGGACTTGTTTCTGAAAAAGAAACCTAGTCTAACCCTCAGCTTTTTAAGCAGGTTATTGACATGAAGTTTAAAAGTAAGACAATCATCAAGCCAGATACCTAGGTATTTATAACAGGTAACCACTTCAAGTACTTGTCCTTGCATAGTAACAATATCCAAAACAGGCTCTGGTGTCTTTTTAGCTTTTGAAAATAGCATTACCTTGGTTTTATCAACATTTAAAATAAGCTTAAGTTCAGCGAGCTGAGTCTGAATAATGTTAAAAACAGCCTGTAATTTAACACCAGCCTCCTTAATGGAGGGACCTACACAATACATCACGGTATCATCAGCATAAAAATGTAAAGTAGCTGCATCCACATTTTCACCTAAACTGTTGATATATATGGAGAATAAAAGTGGACCTAAAACAGAACCTTGAGGAACACCATTAGCAATGTTTAACCACTCAGAAGACAGTCCATCAAAGTGAACACATTGGGACCTTTCAGAGAGTTCACAAACCAACCCACTGCATGGCTGGATATGCCGATACTGAGTAGCCTCTGCTTTAAGATGCGATGATCGACGGTATCAAATGCTTTGGAAAGGTCAATAAATAGAGCTGCACAACTCTGCTTATTATCCAAAATACTAGTAATGTCATTCACCACTTTCATTGTGGCAGTGATGGTGCTGTGTTGTTTTCTGAAGCCTTACTGATGTTTAGACAGGATATCATTTTTACATAAAAACTCCTTTACCTGTTCACTCACTAGGCGTTCGAGCAGCTTCGCCAGAACTGACAACTTAGAGATTGGCCTATAGTTATTTAAAATAGTTGCCTCCCCTCCTTTTAGTAAAGGCAAGACATAAGCTGACTTCCATACTTTTGGAATTGCATTTGTGCTGAGGGAGAGGTTAAAAAGAGAAGTAAGAGGAAGAGCAATAAAATCTGCAGCTATCTTTAAAAAGAAAGGTTCTACGTTGTCCGGGCCAGCCGGTTTCTTAGGATCTAGCTTAGATAAGGCTTCATGAACAACATTGACAGTAAAAGGAGTAAAACTGAAAGGGTTTTCCAGACCACATTGTTCAGAGTCACGGATTGGGGTGTTCACAGAAGCAGAGTTAGTCACAGAATCAAACATAGAACCGCAGGACACAAAATGCTCATTAAAGCAATTTAGCATGGTGGCCCTGTCCGATATAGTGCCAGATGCTGTGGTAAGGCACGGCGGTAGCTCATTACGGATCTCACCGGTGGATATCGATTTTATGGCTGTCCAAAATTTCCTAGGATTATTTAGGTTTTCTGTGGTAACTGACAAATAGTACTTTGACTTTGCACTTTTGACATTTGAAGTGAAGCTTTTCCTTAGCTGCCTAAAACGCAGCCATTCTACCTCTGAGCCATAGCCTTTGCCCAGGCCTTGTTTCTCTCATGAAGGAGACTAGACAGTTCAGCAGAAAACCAAGGATTGTCTCGTCCCTTCACTCTAAATTTACGCAGGGGTGCATGTCTATCAATGATCTCCATAAAACCAAGATAAAAATAAGACCATGCAGTTTCTACATCAGCACACAGATCGATTTTTCCCCAATCAAACCCAAACAGATCATGCACAAAACCCTGCTCAACAAAATGTTTTATGTCTCTCTTAATAATAATACGAGGTTTAACCTTTTGAACCTTAGTGTCCCTAATTGTGGCTACAACACAGTGATCGCTCAGATCATTCGCCAATACTCCCACAGATAAGTATTTATAGGGAGCATTAGTTAAAATGAGATCAATTAGATAGGATTTATTAAGGGACTTAATATTTGGGCGAGTAGGACTGTCAACAATCTGAGTAACATTCAAAGAGATACAAAGGTTTTTAAAATCCTCTGACACTGTAGTTAACCAGTCCCAGTTAAAATCTCCAAGTAGCACTATTTCCTTGTAGTCTAGTTGTCTGTAACAGCCCACCACCATGAAACCTGCACTAGGTATTTACAATATCCACCCGATGGAAGCAGGCGATAGATTTGTCCATACTAAAATGTATTTATGAACAAATAAAACAGCAGAATCTGTATTTAGATTTTTTCTATGAAAGTTTTGATATCAACTTTGTCAGTTCACTTCAGACCAAATATGCAACTCTACGATGGAAAAATTAAAAGTTGTGATGATTGATGAGTTCCTAACTTTATATATACAGTCTATGGTTCCTAATGATACTTTGTCTCACTCTGTGAACCCTTCTCTTTTATCCGCTGCAATCTGTCTGTGTTCCCTCATCTGTGTGAAGCAGAGTTTATACACACTGGAGCCCCTCCGTCTTCCTCCCCTTCTGGTAGTACAGCCCCTATCTGACATCCTGCTGGCTTTATAACGGATGGCATCAATAAGGCACATTTCGAACATTAATCTGATGATTTACTTTGTTTTTTGTCAATTACTTTGGTCGTGTACTACGGCATGCTAATGTTGTTCTGTGGGTGATTTAATAGATCGTGAAATGTAATGAGAAAAAAAATCCAAAGCATGAATAAGTGGATGTAAATGTAATCTTTGCAAGATGTACAACCTTCACCCAATTTGATGTGCCTCTGGGTGCCTTTACCACTTCAGAAACAAAGCCATTGTGTTCATGTTTAGAGGGGTTAACTTTAAATGTGACTTAAAATTCACATGTCTCTAATATTGATCTTTATGTCTAACATGTCTCTGTGCTCTGTTCAAAAAGCCTTCCCATCCATATATGTCAAATGTGTTCGCTTGACAAGATGAAAGGATGATTCATCCTCTGTTTCTGGGTCAAAGATTAAAGTCATTCATGGTTGCAGCTTTCTGTTATAGTATGTTGTCACTTTAAATTGTTACTGTAACTCTTCTTTCCTCTCTAGGCTGGCAGGTTATGTGGAGGCGTTGGCGTATCGGCTGGGAATGAAGATTCCTGACTTAAGCCCCAAACAGGCAGACATGTGGCAGACCAGAGTCAGCTCTCATGCGGTCAGTACCCTCATATCACACTAAAACCACCAGACCTCAACCCAAATCTGCTCTCAAAGAGTCTCTGTCACTCTGCTGCTCTCACTGAGACCAGAAGACAGACTTATAAACATCTAGTCTAAGTGGATATTAATAAACCTGCAGCACAGAGCATTCAAGGGTTTAGTTGTGTGATGCAACGGTAAACATCACATCAGGGTTAGGGCTTTGTACAGTGACAACAGAAACACGAGTCTCTGTGTTACATCACGTCCATCACTCTTCCATTGTGTGAGAAAATTAGACGTGCATTGTTTCTAGTGTGCTGTGGCTGCTGAAGTGTGAAATGTAATTAGTTGTAATAATTAGTCTCATCCTGAAAAAGCTCTTTGCTGAGTGTAAAATGTCATGTCAATTGTCCTGGCATGCTCGAATACCTTTTTAGTTTTTTGCAGAAATGTGTTCATAATACATGTTCATTTCTAAGGGAAATCAATGCTTTTGGTTGTCAGTGATAGCATCTGTCCTTGCAGGGATCTTAAAGTCAGCAGGCCAGGTGCTGCATGATAATAAAGCTCCCTTCTTTATGGATGGATTCAGAACTTACTGGTCCTATTACTTACAACAATACAAACCAAAAGTATAATACATAAAAAGGACAGTTTGCTAAATGTAAGAGGCCTATTTACTGGAAACACAGAGACTCAAAGATGAAGAAGTCTTTTTTCAGTCACACTTTCTTACTTCCATATTCCTCTGCAGGGCAAAGCCATCGGTGTTGCCATCGGCTGTATCCTTGGCATGTTTCCTCTTTTCTTCTTCAAGGACGATGATGAGAAGAAGAAGAAGAAGAAAGGCAAGGCGGAAGCGAAGGAGGAAACACAACCACCTCCTGCTCCAACAGAAGACTGAAGCTTACATCTCCACGGAGAGAAATACTATTTGAAATCCATTACAATACTTTAAAGTGGGACTGATTGCGCTTGTCTGGTGGACTGCAGTGTATGAACATGTCTTTGAACCATTACAGACTAATCACTGGGTACTTTACAAGACCCAGTCAAACTAAAGGTATTCAAAGGATGGTTTTAGATATTATTTCATTGTAGACTTTGAACTTGAGCACAGGGACATGACTGTCTCTTGAAGAGACAATAAATGATTGATTCATTAGAGTGCTGCTACTCCAACTGTAACACCGTAACCTCCTCTTCACTGACCCACATGAGCTGAAACTAATTAATGTTAAAACACACGGCAGTGACCTCTTCCCCTCCTTCCAGGCTGTTATACAATCATCTGACTAGAGATGGCTAGATGGAAGGTAGATGCACAAAGCTTTTTGACGTTGAAGGTTCCTCATATAATGTCTGAAACCCTCATCTGAATTCATGGAGGAATACTTAACAAAGAGGCATGCCAATGTCTTTAGTCAGCAGTGTTACACTTATTGTTAATGAGTATTTGAAGGTAATGAGCCAAGGAATATTTTTGCATATAAAGATGCACCCTTTCATCAAGTACATTACTCTTCTGTCTTACAAGCATGTCTGCCTTTTAATGATAACAATGTCTTAATAAGTCCTGCCTGCCTCATTCACACTCCATGACAACCAGTCAGCTGCTTTTTGTGAAAATAATCAGTACTTGTTTAGATTTGTATGTTTCTTGTTGATGACAAACTTTATATTGATCCCTCAAATGAGTAACATGCACCCAATTTCCCCATTTATAATGAGTGTTACAAGGTAGATGCAGTTTGTTTCCTATCTCAGAGGAGTTGAGCAGAAAGGAGACGAACACAGAGAGCAGCCGTCCTCTGGCTCCAGTACCACCCGATTCATCTCCTCGCCAACCTGCAGCTGAACCACAACTCACTCCCAGAGCAGCTTCTGTCCTGCAAGGGCAGCCTAGAACATTCAGCCCAGTGCATAGTTTCAATTTGACTTCAAAGTAAATAAGAAGATTGTTTCCCTGTTTGTTTTCTAGATGCTTTTTAATTCCAACACTATTTCACTTCTATCCTATATAATATTGTCTCTGCTCTGCTGCCCCCTTCTGGCTGAAATTCAGAGAAAGTTAAGTTTACTGTCATTTAGCATAAGCATTTATTTTTCTGTTAGTATTAAAGCCTCTCATGTCTCGCCTGTAAGTTCCACCGGCTATAAGTAACCAAATTATCGCCAAAACATTCATTTGTCATATTTCTCAATGCAAGTAATCTGCATCATTCATCAGACATGAAGACAGGTTTATTCGGACACATTTGATGAGACACCTCCATCCATCCAAGTCTTCATTCAGCTGTCACGGAGTTCCTAATGTACCTTTTGAATGTTGTGTTTGTCACCAGGTTGCTCAGCTCATCAGAAATGCAGTCACTTGTTTATAGCATTGAATCTGTTTGCAAGTTGAAGAAATGAAAGGAAGCTGCCACATGTCACTCTCTGGAAAACTTGCAGAAAATGTATTTATTTTTGTTAAGATATTCAGACTTGTATTCATAAAATGTTCTCACTGTATGTTCTCTTTATCTGGAAGGAAAATGTTAAGAATAGAAAATATTTGTCGGCACACAAACCTTTGTTAGTATATTTTCAGCAGCATTATACAACAGGAAGGACTTCTAATTCAACCGACTCCTCTCTATGGTACGGTCCATAACTAACTTTCTGAAGACTGACCCTGTCTGAGATGTTCTAGTTATTTATTATGTGGGTAACAGTGATCCTTAACAGTGATAGCAATGAAGAAAAGAACTGAAGATATTTATGTAGTTAGGGTTTTTGATCTGATTGCTTGATTTCCACCCTGCATGCACTGCTAATAAAAGAAACAGAAGTGTACATGTTTACTGCGTAAGAATCATAACAATACATTCAAATACAAACGTATAAAGTAGTCAAATCACGGTGATAAAACACAATAAACTTGGTATGCTAAATGTAAAACAAATGATTTTTAAAAAAAACTTAAAATACATTTTTAAGGGCTGACTAAACAGGATAAAGCATGAAGTGATTTCCATTTTAGACAGCCAATGATAAACAGATGTTTGTATCCTTGCAGTATGGATATTTGGACATCATGTGGCTTTTTTTTGGAGCCGAATGTGATGAGAAACCTCTTCTTGATAAGCAGGATGTGATTATAGTAATAGTTTCAAATAACAGTAGCAATTTGCCTCCTTGCATCAGATCATTAAATGGCCTGTCTCAGTGCTTTAAGACGGTCTTTTGTGCACAGTCAGTCATGGTAAGAAAATATACTCTGTGTGAAAATAATGTCATTTGGAAGCTATTATCTTTCGTAGACTCTTTTTTGCTGCAAGCACCTCTTTTTGTCATTAGGGGAGAGACAAATCTAAAGTCCTGGAGCTCTTAGTTATTATCTGAAATGGATGTAATGTTATCGTTGTTAAACGGGGAGAATGTTAAATCAAATGACTGAAAAACACAACTTTTCTTCACGGGTTTCCTGCGTGAAATGCAATGTGTTCTAAGTCGTGAATGCATTATGAAGGACTTAAGGACCTTATGTTATGCATGTTGTTTTATATCATGAATGTATGATACTTATTTGTTCTTTAAGTTGTCTGCTATTATAAACAACTTAAATTACACTTGTTGATATAAAAACATGTTAGTACATTTAATGTTGTTTTGTTTTCACGGTGTGTAGTACCTGAAAGCAATTCTTATTCAACCTGATGCAGGTGAGATATTCCGCACATCTTTATTTAACACCGTCCTTTGGATATTGGATTCATTGATTTGAATCAATGAAAAATACATATTGACTTGTGATGAGTAGTACATCTAAACTGCATATTAAAAAGGAGCAAAAACATAAGCACACATTTGGTCTTCAACGCGGCAAGTCATTTACAAACAAATGGACTTCCACCGAACAGTTAAAATGATATTGTTTATTTTGTAAAGAAAATGAATCCAATAGAAATAAAATGAGCTTTTCGTTCCTGGCAAAACTATGTAAAGTGTATCTCCCTGCTTCAGCTCCAGAAAGGTATCTGTAGAGAATATGTATGTTTAGGTTGGTAAAGTATAGAAAATAGTTTCATATATCTAATCCATATACCAAGTCCCTGCAGAATCCCACCTGTGTACTAAATATTGATGTTAATATAATGTTTTCTTAGGAAAAGAACTACGACTATGGGGAGAGGGAGAATCAATGATAGGTCTCCTTCCTTCTTTGTTTCTAAAAGAGATTCTGCCCTGCCATGCCTCTTAATAATAATAATTCAACATATAAATTGTTTGTCATTCTGTATTATCATTTATTATGTAACAAAATTGTGTTTTAAATGAGACAATTAAAACTGTTTCACTCAAGCTTTATTTGTTACTCAAATCTTTTAATACCACTGCCTCTTTCCTCCATTCAAACAATACTAAAATGCAGGAAAACACGATCTTACAGTCAGTCTATTTGATCATGCATACATCTGTAAAATACCATACAAAAATACCGTAATAATCAGTATTTAGTCTTTCAATTAGCTGCTCATTCTGACAAGTCATTTCACTCATTTGACCTGAACTAAAACACATGCAAACTTTACAGTGGCGTGGACATCACAGTGATAAAAACAATACATTTAAAGGTTTCATATTAGTAAATAATGGCTTGTTTCACAAAAACAATGTTATGTTATAGCAAAACCATAATTGGGAAGAGTTTTCAGGCTTTTCAGCACACAGCTCTTGAGGAGTTTACTCTAGGTGGCTGATGTGAAGACAAACTGTATTACCTAGGCATTTAGATTTTCTAAACTGCCAGCCTCTTGCAAAAGTCCCGAGCAGTCATTACTGGCATTTCATTAACTTAAAAATAACCAAAATGAAATATTAGCATTCTGGAACTTTGAGATTTCTTCTAATTTGCCATGGGAGACTCACAAAAGTTGAAATTAATTCACCTGTTTTGTACCCCTTAAATCCCCCCGTGTGAGACAGTTGAGTAAAATATGCAAACTAAGCCAAAACAGGCAAATACACATTTCCTCACTAACCAGTAAACAAACCCACATTTTGAGATAAAATGTCAAACCAGGTAATACAATGCATTCAGATTGTGTTTCTAACATGATTAAACAGATTAACATACTGTTCAACTTCACCTGCTATACACAGAGAAAGAAAATGTTCATTAAGGAATCTTATATAATGCACTCAAAGGAACAGTCTGACATTTCCATGTGTATTGTCATTTGTTTTACCCAGGCACTGAGATGCAAGAAAAACTAATATTATTGCATTGCAACTTGTTAGCATTGTTAGCACACCTTATAACAACCAACCCCCCCATAAATGTAGTTAAATGCTAACATGCTAGCCTGCAGCAGGTAAGACCATTAATAACCAAGCCACTGGGCCACCTTTTAAACCCCCAATGCTCCCAAACCTCTGGAGTTATAACCTTTTGATATCGAAAAATAACAATAATATCTTGTAATTTAAAACATGAGTGTATTTTTGTGTCCACCATACTAAGCTCATGTCTAATCATAAGCAACACCTTCTGATTCATCAACTTTGATTGTGCAAAAGAAAAATCCAGTGAAGAGAAGATGCATTGGGAAACGCTGCAGTGTCCGTCAGTTTAAATTGGCTCACTTTAAGGTTTCATTCAGCAGAGTTCAGACGGTACAAACCACCAGCAGATGTCTCTGTTAAATCACCCTGCAGCTGCTGTAGGCTCTGTAAATCTAGTTTACAAATGTGTTCTTCCTTACAAAGAAATAAAAACGACACCATGGTCCTGCTGAGAAGAGATACATTTGCAATGTGCAATGCGAAGATCCACAAAAGAGAGCTTTGAAATGTATTTCTTCTCAGTTTTACCAGCTCTTTGTTAATGTACTCTTCTTCATGATATCAGGTATCCAGCACCATTTACATGATAGAGTATTAACACATTAAGAATAAGTATGTGATGATTACATTACCTATTGCTTGAGAAAAAAATAGATATCTTATGGTAAGTGGTTTGAATATTTTCATAAAATTATCTCATTAGCTCATACATTGCACCATTTCTTAACGTGTTACAATGGTGCAATGCTAAACAATCAAAGGTTCTTCTTTGATGTTTACAAATCTCTATATGACAAAATACTATTTTCTACAGAAAGGACGTGTCTCCTCTCCTGGAGGAGCTGCCACCCTGCACTCAAAGACTTCATTAGTAGTTTCACTGGACACGTTGAGAGCTGCATCATGGTCTTATTGGTATTTCAAGTGTTGTTCCACTCAGAGTAAAAAACTATCAGTGACACTCAGTGACACACACACACACACACACACACACACACACACACACACACACACACACACACACACACACACACACACACACACACACACACACACACACACACACACACACACACACACACACCACACACACACACACACACACACACACACACCCACACACACACACACACACACACACACACACACACACACACACACACACACACCACACACACACACACACACACACACACACCACACACACACACACACACACACACACACACACACACACACACACACACACACACACACACACACACACACACACACACACACACACACACACCACAAACCCACACACACACTACACACCAACCCCCAAACCGCGGCTCTCACTCTTCTTGGTATGCTCTTTTGTTGTAGCCACACAAGAGCAGCCATTGTATGCCATCAGAGTGTGACAAAGTATGAGCGCTTCGAAGAGAGTATGTGCATATTTGTGTTTTAGTGTGTGTGTTTTAGTGTGTGTGTGTGTGTGTGTGTGTGTGTGTGTGTGTCCTGTTGCTCTCCTACTGTGCTGGCTAAGATCCACCAATAGGCAGGACAGTGCAGATAGAGGACAGGGAAGAAAGTGAGCTCCCTTTCTCTCTTCACACTGTTGCATTGTTGCTGAAGGAGGCAGGCTGGTGTTGAGATAGGCATGGGGGGGGGCAGGGGCGGTTCGGGGACGCAGGTGGAGGAGGTCAGTGTCCTGGTGGGGTTGATATTACAATATGACAGAAACAGTCTCTCCAGTGCCATATGTTCAAGTGATTCATCGCGTTTTCATCAAGGTCTTCTTTACCAGCTCTGTGTTGTCCCATAAAATAAATAATGTCTTCCCATTTTGAGTTTGCTGAATGCCCTTTGGGGATATTCACTTGTCTTTGAGAGAACACCTCTTGACTGGGAGCCCGGTAAGAGAAAATGAAGAAGGGCTTTTTAGTCCACTTTGTTGTTGTTGTTGGAGGGAATAGGCTGGCACTGTGCTGGGCACGGAGACGAGGAGGAGGAAGAGGACGAGGAACATGTTTTGTTGGTGGCAGAGAGTTCACTGGGTTTGTGTTTCTGATGCAGGGCGATCACAGCCAGAATACTGATGATGTGAACATGGAAATACATAGACCTAGGAGAGAAGACAAGATATGACAGTACTTATGTCATAAATGAACTGTACAAGGAACTTTAGCTCAGTAAGAAAACGTCACAGGCATAACACAGCATGCCTCAAATGAATTTGAAATAACTCTTTATATACTTTGTGTTGCTAAAGGCAATTACAGGCAGGAATACTAGCTGCAACAATAAGATGATTGACAAAAAATGTATGAGGAGTTATTTTCATTATTATGAATGCCAACCGTCTCTAGTTCCAACTTCTGAAATGTGTATATGCTGGTTCCCTTAGTCTTCTATGATAGTTAACTGAATATCTTTAAGGTTTATTGGGCATAAAATACTTTTAAAGATTTTTCCTTGGGAATTTCTGATGGGCATTTTTCTCCAATTTCTGACATTTGAAT